GTTGTGTTTTATGTTGTTGTTTTTAAAATTAATTTTTTCACTTTTATTAATACACGTCTCCGATTGTAATCTGATTTTTACATAGAGTTAATAAAACCGGAATTTTTGTTAGAGATGTAACTTTTTGCCCATATTTTCTGCCAACACAACCATAAAATAAAATTATATTAATTTTTAGTTATTTATCATGAATTTGTATTTGAAAAAAATTAATTGATAATAACAGCAGTTTTTGTTAAGTACTGAATCAGTACTACTGATAATAAATACCACGTAAAATGCTAACTTTTTTTTACCATAATATAACTTATCATTGAATGAATAGTAATAATCATTAGCTCTCTCTCTCTCTCTCTCTCTTAAATGTAAACTTTTCAATAAATAATTTAAATTATGTTGCAATTGGTGTGTTTAAGGCATATTTCAAGACATTCAGATCTATCTGGATCCAGATCTAAACATTTCTAACCTGGTCATTGTCCGGTGGTGAAAAAGCAGCAATTTAATAAATTTATTGAGCATTTCTTATTTATCAAAAAATTAAATAAGTAATTCAAATGAGAAAACAGTTTAAGTTATCATTTATTTAATTAAACTTCAAAATAATTTAATCCTTTTTGCGATCGACGGCCACATCGGGTCGCTTGTAGTCAGATCTGGTCAGCAAATAGACCACTGATATCACAAACAACACTATACTAACGCCAAAGGCGTTCAGCAAGAGTGCCGGCGCCGGGAGGTCACGGTATTCCTGGCCTTTTGAAGTCCTAAACAAAAATCAAGGTAAAAATCCTATACAAAACATGATAAAAAAGCACACTCACAAACTAAACAGGGCTTTCTCGGTGACACCGGTGATGGCCACACCGGCGGCCAACACAAAGCCAACTGCGCCCACAAACGTGTGCAACGGCAACACCGCCCGCTTGAACCCGTACGACCCCTGGGGCCATAGAAACACAAAAAATGCGCCCAAAGTGCCCGATGCCTGCGTGACAATCAACGCTCCGCCTAACCACGAGTGCAGTGAGTAGTAGTGGGGTATGTGTTTGAGGGTGTGGTAGGTGTAGGCGGCGTAAGCACCGGCTAGTGTTACACCCAGTCCGGTCAGTTGTACCAAAAAGTGGATAAACTTTTGGGTACTGTATTTGAGACAACCGCCCGTCCGATAGAATAGTATGCCTGGTGCAAATAAATATTGTAATTATTGTAATTTAAGTTAGATTAAATAGTGTGTTATAAATTTTGTATTGTTTAAATATTGGATTAATCGCAAATTAATTAAACTAGTATATATTTTTTAATATTTTGTAGTTTTTATATAACTTTATAATTAAATAATTATAATCTTAGATATTTATTAGCATAAATATTGTACGATTTTTATCATGTAATCATAACATACCGTTAGCGTTGATGAATAGCATACCGGTGGCCATAAGCACCGGGTGATAGTTAAACAGCTGTTCGGGCGTACCGTCCAGTTTCATGCCACCCAGGTGCTTGTTCACCCACAAGCAACCGAGCGAGATCATACCAATGCCCAGCACCTGTGTCAGCAGGTACAGCGTGTACAGTCCGATGGTTTGCATCAGGGTACGACGGCCAGGCTGCTGCGATTGACCGGCGTTAGAGTGTTTGGCCATGTCGATGATTGTTGAATCAGCACTTGGTTGAATTATGTATTTGCACTAGTTAATTAATTAAATACAATGTTGTGTTTTATGTTGTTGTTTTTAAAATTAATTTTTTCACTTTTATTAATACACGTCTCCGATTGTAATCTGATTTTTACATAGAGTTAATAAAACCGGAATTTTTGTTAGAGATGTAACTTTTTG